TATATATATATATATATATATATATATATATATATATATATATATATATATATATATATATATATTCAGCTAAATGAAAAATATTAAGTAAAAAAACAATATTTCTTTTCTCTTTTTTTTTATAATATTATACATAAAAATATTCGTAGAAAGTCCGGTATAATCTCACAACACAATTGTTTCTGATATTATTTTTCTTTCTAATATGGTTAAGTAATATAGGAAGCAATAATAGCCAGTATAATATTGCGTATTTCATTTATTTTGCATAAGATATTTGAAATATCTTAACTGCGTTTTTTCCCTCACTTCCGTCCGTATGTATACTTAAAATTCTAAGCAAACTATGTGCATGCGATAACTATGTGCATTGACAAGATATTCTAAAACCAAGTGAAAAATGTTACTAATAATTAGATCGCGGATTTGCTTAACGGATGCGTTCGGGTGTCAGTGACAGCCGCAATACGCAATAGGGAAGAATACGTCGGGAAGAGAAAGGCTCGCATTTTGATCATTATTTTTATTATTCTTGCTATAAGTACTAATAAATACGCTTATGAATGAAAGTAACGCCATAAAGAAAATTCAGTCGCGATACTGATGTAAATAGCTTTCGCGTTTTCGCTTTATCAATTTTCAAAATGTCTGAATTAAATCGCGCCATCTTGTACATAGTCCTCAATTGCCGATTGGGTTCCTTCATTCAGGTAATTGATCTAGTAAATAGATAATAGTAAAGATACGTGTAGAGACAACCAAAGCATAAAATAATAAATAAATACGAATGTACAAAAAAAAGACAAAGATTAGTACTCGGCATAACGGCTCTCATCGAAAACTCTACAGCCCGGATACGCTAATCCGCGATCTGCTATTAATTGCCATATGACTGTATGTTCGTCGAATTTGTACAAAAGAAGCATGACACCAATGCAATGACTTATGCACTTGTATTTTCTCTAATAATAATAATAAGAGTGGTTAACATATATTGCCATATTAATAGTTTAAACTTAGTATTCAGGTCTTCATAGATTAATCGATTATTTCTTAGTTTATAATCACGTGGTTGCTCCACTACTAGATCTAGAATAAATGAGAAGTGTATTACTACGTTTATAAGTAGAGTGTGTTGATATGTATCTGTATATATCTCCAAAATCTAATAAATATTTTCCAAAAATTATATTTATTTTGTGACATTTATGTGTCTCATGTTTTGTTTTCCGAATAATATATGATTTAGCTTTATTATTTTCCGTAACGATATCGATTTCCACAAGAATTTCACGTAATTCCATTAGTGTGTATCTCAGCTCATACGGCTCAAAAAGTTATCGTGTCTCTTATAACCGGACTTATCCAGTCCCATATGTTGGATGAAGTAGATTCAACTATGCTGACATAATAAAATATGTTATTAATATAATAACATATAAATACTCTTAATTCGACACGAGGCCTGAATCCGGATGAGATGATAACTTCTGAGCCTTCATCAGCTTTTCTATAGTCTGTGCACGTATGTGTATGTATGTGTGTGCGTGTGAATGTATGTGAGGCATTTTTAAACGTGACAAATTGATATCTTCAAAAACACTAATTAGAAGCAAAATTTTTTTGTGAAAGTTGGAAGTTTTAAAGTTTTAAAGTTAATGATCAATTAAAATTTACATTTAACTAATTAGAAGCAAATTGCTTTTTTTGTGAAAGTTGGAAGTTTTAAAGTTTTAAAGTTAATGGTCAATTAAAATTTGCATATTTTCTTTTCCTAATTTCAAAATTAACTTGAAGATATTTCTGTATCGCATTTTAAATGCTTCTTCCTATATGTACTTAATATATAGAATATATATATCTTTAATTTTAGTAAAATCTTACAATCAATTATATCTATATTTATCGTGAAGAAATTTACTTTCTACATGTAATTGTTTGAAAAAATTGAGGGGTTACATAAAATTATAAATTATGAAGACAAAATATGTAAATAACATATGGGCAAATATCACTTTTGTTACGATAATAACAACGCTCTCTCGACTTTAGAGAAGCTTCACGATAATATTTTAACACGGTTTGGTGAGAATATTATTGAGATCTAATGTATGTGTGATGAGGAATTGGTATGGTTTTTACAGTTGAAATGTTTATAACTCTGTACGACATGCCATTTATACTAAACCCACGGTAGATACGGATACGGAAATAGAAGTTTAGTGAAGACTAGTTAGATTTTCTTTGTTTGTTGTGTAAGGACGAAGCTGTGGAAGGTGCTCTGCGGGAAATAGGGCTTTTATAGGTACTTCGTACTTTGCATGAGCTTCACGGACAAAATATCGACCCACATGAACAGCTGAAAAACCAGAAAGGGCTTATCCGCTGCATGATGCCAAAACAAAAAAATTACGACTCAACTGTATTACATAAATTTTCAAGTCGACTCTACTAATCGTTATACAGGACGTTTCAGGCATCATGCACTTTCTTTCGGCCACAAGTCCCTTGACGAATTCGATAAACCCCCGTGATGAGAATTCACGAATAACTAGATAAGATTTTTATAAAAGAAGAAAAATAAAAGAAAAACGTAATGCCTAAAACATTCTGTGTATATCGACATATTTTTATATTGAGGAAATCATCTGCGTATCGAGCAAAATATTATGTTACTAACCAAAGGCTGAACTCTATAGTTTTCAAGTCTTAATTATAACTTTTAACGTACGTACTACTAACGAAACGGCGATAGTTATGATCCGTATTTTAATCTTCGACTCTGGCAATAAAACTGTATCGATAAGTTATTTTTACGAGAAGATTGTACATGTGCTGTATTTTGAAGGATATCAGTATTAATGTAACAACATATATATATGTAATTTATATATATATATATATAATTTATATATATATAAATATTAAAAAAAAAAAATATATATATATATAAATACTTAAAATTAATTAATTAATTAATAATCCACAATTAAAAAACTTACCTTTATACACTTTATATATATATGTATACATATATGTATATGTTATACATAAGTAGCAACGTCAATTTTTAATGTTATTATATACCGATACGCTAAGTGTATTAGTAATAAATATATAGAATGTGATCTTTAGTGTAATTTTGAAACTGAACACGCACATAATATACCTCCTTTGTTGTTAGTCTATACTAATCAAATTCGAGCACAATCCCAGGTAAAAGTAGCACCGTGCATCCCGAGTTCGTTGGAAGTTAGTTGTTTACTGGGGAATGATAACCGTGCGAGATTCGCAAAAGTACACAACCTTTTTGTTAGCTCTGTAAGCTAGATATTTTCCTGATATATGCGTTCTGAACCTGTGAGAATTGCATTCACTCCTCTATTGCAATCACATCCGGAAGATGCTCCACAATTCGACACGTTGCATGTAAAAACGAGCAATTTTTACTGTCGCTTGAGATTTAAAAATCAAGGCAATCAAATAAATATGCGCTTTCTCTAATACCCACACAAGTATAAAGGTACTTGCTAATATGAAAAGGGTTCAGTTCACCATTTGAAGCTGCATCAAGAAGAGTTTTATTATAAAGTAGGTACGTGTATATATACGTTTATATATGTGTATATATATATATATATATATATTATATATCTCTTGAGATTTCTTTTGTAATACATTTTTTATAAAGTGCAGCGTCAAAGTAATTGATCCCTGTTCATATTATTGTAAGATATACTCAGCATAATACCGATAAACTTGTTCTTCTTCGTGTTTGTTGCAGGAAGAAACTCCTCAGGGATTCTTCGAGGATCACGGACTGGGATAATGTTCTTTAAAACGCGCGCACATGATTATCGTAAGTGTACATTCTTACATTTTTGTTCTATCATTCCACGTTAACGCAACATATTTTATTTTTCCTTGAAAAATAAGATAAATGTACGTAGCTATATATGTTCTTGATGCAGATATATGCAGTTGTCATTTATTATTTTCATATTGCAGTAAGAAACACACACCTATATATATATAAAATCATTCCATATTTTTTGAGGCTACAGATCCTTTTGACTCTGATATTTTACACGTCTCTTTTACATATTACTTTAATTAGCCGCATTTACATCGATAAATGATAGAGTGACAGACACAATTAAATATATTTTAATATAGGCATAAGCAAAGCTGCGCTATCCAACGTATGTTCTACTTTTGCTTCTTTCAATTAAAAAAAAGAATTTTTTAAACTCATCTGCTTCGAGTGGTAACTTATATAACCTGAAAACTTCTATTGCTTATTGAATGAAAAAGAAATGACGAAACATTTTGAAATTATCAACACGATAATGTAAAAATTCCGTGCTTTTTTGACATATCACATGAAATAGGGAAATAAGATTTCATTTAAGGTCATTAAATTTCTCATCTTTTTTCTTAATTTCATCGACTTTTTTTTTAAAAGGAGGTAATTACAGAAACTCTCTATTTATATAACAATATGAAACGTTATGGTTAGGTGAAGTGAAGTTACACATATAAGCTATACAGATCGAGTTTAAAACCTTGTTTATACATAATCACTTGTTACGCGAGATGTGATGTATTGTTAATTAAATATCATATATTCTGTATTACATAATATATCATTAATGAAATTCCGGGTATTTCTCTGAACCTACATACAAATATGCTATAATGCTCTATAATAAAATAAGTGTCGTCACATTTTTAATCAATGTTAAAGAGGAAAGTTGAATATATAATCTATAGTATAATGAGGGCAAGCTCTGTGTTGGAATGTATTGAGAGATATACAGACTGTGCTAGACGAAGAATGGGAATCAATAGCTGGCATTTATTCTTTAACGATATTCGAGACGGTTCATTAGTAAATATCAAAGTTTGTGTAATGTTCTCAATCCTATTATTATTGTCATTACTATTGTTACATACATGGCACTTCCCACGTCATTTAAGAGTTGAAGGAATGTACAGAGTATTCCAGACTCTCTTCCGCAATTTTTGTGAGAACGTAGAACGAATCGAAATGAACACAAAAGTCCTGTACCTGTTTTGCGATTTTCGCAATAAATCGAGATATTAATTGAAAAAGATTGATGAATGATATTCACGCACGATATAGTAGATGAGTGTAGTGACGATGTGTGTTGTTGTATGCTTGTACATTTGGTCAAATTGAATAAAAAAATTATCACTTTACAAATAATCATGTAGATTTTTAGTTATTAATCTTTAGGCTGCCGGTATTTTTCATTAAAAAATAAAATAAATGGCTTTTTTTCTCAGTAATTTTTCTATATAAGTAACACATGGCATAGAATTTTGAGATTTGTGCAGAGCCACAAAAAAAGTGATTTTCCAGGCAATCTGAAGGTTAATGAAAGAAAATTCTTACATGATTATGCACAATAATGCACAAATCTTCTTTAATTAATATGTAAAAATCTATGTGATTATTTGTAAAATGATAGATAACTTTTTTATTCAGTTTAATCTAATATATAAGGAAGACCTGATATACAACGGTAAACAACGCCACTACAGTTTATTTACCATATCAGATGTGATCATTTACTAATATTTTTTAATTAATATCTCGAGATTTATTGCGAATATCGCAAAATGATATGAGATTTTTATGTTCATCTTAATTCATTCTATCTTCCGACAAAAATTGCGGAAGAAAATCTGGGACACCCTGTGTATTATTATTTTGGTATTTAATATGATTGTACCGTACATATGCATCGTACAAGTTGTGTCAACCTCGCCAAATTCAATTGCTTGGCTAAAATTCGTTAGAGAAGTTAAGTGCAATAAAATGCATTCTCACTGAAGAATCGAGTTATATAGTAGCGTATATTTTTATGAAGCTTGAAACCGTGCATATTTAAGTGAAAGGCTAAAAGTTATCGATTTTCGTATCCACAGTTGTTGAAATTAATCGAAATATTTTGTAACGTAAATAAATATGTCGTTAAATTGTTCCGATTGAGGTGAGGCAATTTATATTGGAAATCTCGATTTCTATGCTCACGAGGTACTTGTTGTATCAAATATCAGACAATAAGTTAAGTATGTATCAAAATAATCGCTTGTAGCATTTACATGCGTCACGACACGCGCGTAATACATATACGATACACATTACACATATCTGAGATTTTCAATCTTACGTGTTTACGAACAGTATTTCTGTTTCGCTATCATGTAGATTGGAAATTGATAAGACTTCAAGAAGGGAGGCATTATACTATTAGACGATATAAAAAGAAACAGCTTTGCGATTTATCCCTGTCTGTCTTTTTTTATAACTTTATTAAACTTCGTTACACATACACATGCCGTGGATATCGATATTTAAATAGTGTTAGGCCATGATACTTAAAACACTTGCGTTTCAAGGCTATCTTATTCTACCTTTTATGTTTTCCTTTTTTTTTATAATCAACAACATTTAACTTTATCCTTGCGCTTTATTATAATTACGCAAGCGAAATGTCATGTTATATTGCGTTAAGCTTACAGATTAACGTAGCATTAGTGTATATATTTTGTCGGAAATGAATCAAAAGTAGTCGTTAAGTTATTATCTTCATTGTGCTATCCCCCTCCCTTTCCCTATGAGTATCTACCGATACTCGACAAAACGGTAGAACCGTAGAGTAAGACTTTATCAATGTTAAGAACATGAAATATGTATTACATATTAAGACCAAATGTGTTGCATTGACAAAAGACGATGCTTTGTGCTCCGTCCAAAATAATAAAATGTATTTAAAAAAAATTACCACACACACACGCGTTATTACGTCTCTCTTATATTGTAGTGAGCGAACGTGTCTTGCGTTACGCACCTGCGATATGCGTTGAATATCTTGGACTTGAGTGACTTTCTCTGAATTCCGATTGATCTAGTTGACAATCAACTGGCATGGTTGTTAACAGCGATCTCTAACTTTTTTTAAAAAATACCTATTTATTTATTACGCCATAATTTTCATCAAAACATTTACTTCTCTGCTTAAAACATTTGATAGAATTTGATAAGAAAAATCGATATAGCTGAGTATTTCTGATAAAAAAATAAAAATTTTTTTTGTAAAAAATAAAATTACATAGAAAATTATATATGAATTACAAATTAATGCATGTTTCAGATAAATATTTAAGTCTCATTAAAAGCTCCTAGCTTCTCACCACGCAACTTTTGATTGATGACGTCTGAAACGAGAAAATACACGATAAAAATTCTTACAAAAAATGTTGAAATAAAAAGATACACTCACAAATTAACACTTGTAATCAATTGATTTCACACATTTATAAATTAATCCGAACGTTTTTTTTTGTTCTAATAATCAATAAATTACTGTAAAATTAACGTAATACGCAGCCTACTTTTTTAATCTATTTTTACTCATGATTTTGTCACGTTAATTTTACAGTGATTGATTAATTGTTAGAATAAAAGGATAGTGTTCGGATTATTTTACACATCTGCTCGATCGAAGTGTCATTTTATGATTTTTTCGCGTGTATTTTCTCGCTTTTGACATCAGAAATCAAGATGGCCGCCGCGAAGGACCAACTTTAATCGTTTATAATATTTAATCGTTAAAAGTAAGTTACATAATATGAAAAAAATTGAAAATTTTGTATGAGCTGAAATATGAGAAATTATAATTTACAAAAAAATTGATAAGTTCCGATAAAGATATATAATATTTTCATGAAACTTGTATATCTTTTTATAAATCCTCATTGAACTTTTTAAGCAGAGTTTTTATTATTACAATAATTCCGGGCCAATTGCGTTGTCCTCCCCGCAAAATAAATATCAATTTTAATGACATTAAAATATCGTCGTAACTGCTGCAATTTTCATAGCATCAAGTGACTTCTTTTATACACTGATAAAATTTTCATTGTACGTATCTTTGCGTAATAATCGCTTAGCAAGCAATATGCCGACATAGTCTGTCTGAGTCTGTATACGTTAACAGAATACAGCAGTTAATACCTGACTGATAGCAATTTTTACAGGTTGTAAAGAGAGCACATGAGAATTTATTTCTCGCTTTAATAACAACTGCCATTTTCCACGGTTGGTGATTCTACCTGCTAAGTTGATCGTCGATTAGCTTAAACAGGATGAAATCACCATGTGTGTTTCTTTTGGAAATCTAACGGAATTAATATTTGTTACAGTTACCCCGCATATTCCATGCCATCACTGTTCACAATGTTCGCTGCGCGCGCACACACACAGACACACGCATACATTTATACACGTCACAAGTATAGTAAGTTATTCTCTCTTTCTTTGTCCTTCTCAGACTCGTACTCTGATCACAGTTTGGCAAAATCGGGTGACGTCGCTCGATGCGTTCACCCTCTATCAAGGACTATTGTGTGCGACCGCGAGTGCGTCACAAACCTACACGTTGTGTCAGAGGTCGTGCGACCTTCGACGCGCCAAGGCCGCAGCGACTTGCCGAGTCACATTTGAGTACGCTATTGTGTGATTTGTTTAATTATTTAATATTTATTATTTTTAGTAATTTAATTATTGCACTATATTGTGTGATATTATGCGCAGAAGTAAATTATAATACTGAATTATTTAACACACTCCCCATCGACGGTATCGCGTTCCTACTAATTGTACAACCATTAGTCGCCGAGATCTTACAATTATAATAAAGAAAAGAAATTACACTGTTACATACGACTGTCGAAAAAATCTAATATGTACAACCATTTACATAGAGGTTTTATGGACAAATTATGAACAACGTGGATTTAAAAAGGTTATAAAGTGAATGCAAAATGTTAAAAGCGACATGACATTTGAAACTTGATTTTATTTAATAATGTTTGTGTATAAATTTTTTCGAATTTTCTCACCAGCTTATTTTTGTGTAAATTATAATGTTAAAGTACAACATTTTATAGTAAATTCGATTCTGCGTATCTATCTAGATAACTAAATTAAAAGGTTTAATCCCTATTTAGTCTCTAAATTTCCAAGGATCGTCTTGTGGACGTCCTGAGAATGTCCTTATCTCTTCAGGACATCTCCAGGATATTCTTAAGATATCTGTCTTTTGGAAGATCTGTGCTGTCTGAATATTTTCAATAGCAATAAATATTTTAATTATTATGAAATAAATAAGTTTGTGAAATATAGGAAATATATCACATTGAAATATTAATCTTTCAATCTTTCATCTTATCTAACGGAAGACACCAAGAATACACAGGTGCAAATTTATATAAAAAATTTTGCCGGCTTATAACTTGACTCTGAATCGATCAATTTTAATTTTTTTTTTTTTAATATAAGGAAAGAATCAGAGAAAATATGATGATAATGATATAAAAGCCGATAAGAACGTAATAAGAATGAAAAATATGATTTATACTTGATTCTGAAAAAATCATTTTTTGAAGAAATCAATGGTGCATATATTTGCACCACAGTACGTTTAAATGCAAATTTAATAATTATTGTCTGTTTTGTTTTAAAAATACAGATAATTTATAGTAATATTCAAAGTACACATATTTAAACACTTATGTATCTTTTTCTATTATCTGTGTATCTCTAATAAATTGGTAAATGAAGTACCGATAAGAAAAATTGTTTAAATGTTATTTTTTGTATTTGTAATATTGTATACAATATTGTACATATTTATCTCAGTTTTATTTTATATCAGTTACTTAGACAGCGAAATAACTATGTAAAAACGTAAGTTCGTTAGATAAATGGTAAATTTATGAACGGGTGCCCTTGATGCATCACTGGAAATACGACGCTGAGCCTTACAACCATCTTGACGAGACTGCGAACCTCTGTACACGAACTTGTATGCACCGAGAGCTGTTTGGAAAGTGTCAAATTTTTATAAATACATAGTGTACACAAGTTAACTCTCAGAAGCGAAACCGTAATTATCGTTGTATCGTATAAACTCGGCTAAAAAAAGTGTCGCAACCTTTGTGCAAACAACTGTGCTCTTCACACAACGCACCACCTAGAAACGCGCGTACGCGATTATAACACACCGGTTTATAATAACGGCGTTTGATACATTTAGCGTGCATCTGCCGGCCGTATTGAAATTTAAACCCGTTTCATTCACGCCCGATCACACAATGGGACGCGCGGCGAGATATAACTTTATAATGTCCGTCAATGTGGGCATGTGCAGACGGTTTAATGAATACAACGGACGTGACAGAGATGTGAAAATGCGTGCCACCCCCTCGTTTCCGTTATTGAAAAATCCCGCGAGGCGTTCTCTCCCCCTTTCTCTCTTTACCTCGCGCGCGCGCGCGCGCTCTCCCTCTCTTTCTCCTTCGCGCGCGGCGACTCTCCTCCAATTCATGCAGCATTGTAAACGTCGCCGATCGCATATATCCCGGACGTGTATCACGGGCGCGCGGCGCGATGTACAATGCGACCGACGGGCGTCGCGAATGATAATAGGCCGCGTCTATTATCGAGGAAGAGCAACGGAGGTAGGCGCGACGATTAAATGGAACACGTTACGCTTTCTCTGTCGTGCGGCTCGTTCCGCAACATCTTTTCGGAACATGAGAGCACGTTGAGATAGATCAGGAAGAGGTCCTCGCGGCTGGCTTTACAAAAGAGAGAAAGAGAAAGAGAGAGACATAAGCCTGCTGTCAGGTGCGAGGGGGAGCGCTCTTCATGATCAGAAAGGCGTAAGTATGAATGGTAAGCGCGCTTAGAGTCGGATTCGACTCGATCGAGGGAAAAGATTCATGCCCAGCGACGTCGTCGGCGGCGGCGAAGTCCACCGCGGCGGCACCCGACGGCGACTCGGCGCGGCCAGGGCGCGAGGAAGAAGATGGAAGACGGAATCGCGCTGCGTCGGCGCGCGAGGAGAATGAGACGCGCCGCGACGTCGACGTCGTAGCGCGCACGGCACGCATATCGGTTTCCCATCACTGACGTCGCGCTCGACGCCATCGCCGTCGTCGTGCGTATACCGTCGTCGACTGCGCGTCCGCACGCTAATTTCACGCTGTGACGAACGCGCGCGACGAGAACGCGTGGATTGATCGCCGCGCGCGAATCGGACGCACGGTAACGCGCGCGCGGGACAGAGAGAAATAGGCAGAGAGACGGAGAGAGAGAGAGATCGGTCGGTGCGGTGCGAACGTTCCTCGAGAGACGCTCCATCGTCCGTCGAACATCATCGCTCGGAGAGAGGAGGTTCGGTGGTGCGCGCGCGCTCTCTCTCTCTCTTGCCCCGTCCACCTAGTGATCACCACCGAGCCATACCCGGAGACGAATGCTGGTGTCTTGGCGCATCTGCGAGAGGACGTAGCGGGACCCGTCGTGAGACCGAGTCGCTACGCCGACATAGTCGTTTGTTCGCTCGAAATACCGCTCGCGAACGAGCGCGGCTCAGGACGACGTGTTCTTGAAAACTCGAATGTGACGGGGACGCGGCGAAGAAGCTCACAGCGACGAGGAAGAGGACATCGCGGACTGTCCTCGCCGCAACCAGTGCTGGAGAGCTCTCCTCTCCTCGTCTCTGATCGAAGTGTCTGATTCTCGTGAGAGGAAGAGGGTAAGGATGGAGACGGCAGGTCGTCGTCGTCGGCAGCAGCGAGCAACGACGAGGCATCGTTGTACGGCTCGTCATACGTGAAAGCTCAACAAAGGGAGTGAGCGAGAGAGGGAGGGAGAGGGAGAGAAAGAGAGAGTAAGAGAGCACGCCCTTGCGAGACTCTCTCGGAAGAGGGCAGTGGAGGGCGGTTTGCACTCGTCGCTCTCGACTCGGCGGCGGCCCCCTACATGACGCCCCACTTAGGCCGTTAGGGCAGCAGGCGCGCACTCGCCGCCACTGGTCACCGGTGGCGGTGACGAAAAGGGGCTGATGTCAGTGCGGCCACTCGGCGGCGTTCGCTCGGATCGTCAGCTCGGATGCGCGAACGCGATACTGTGCACGCACGCATCAGCGTCGACGTACCGCGAACGAGGCGAGCAAGGGCGACAACAAGGACAGAAGGAGAATCTACGACAGCTACGGAGAACGCGGTGATGCCCGCGGCAGTGGCCGCGAGCAGCAGCAGCAGCAAGTGGCGATCGGTAGTGGCGGATCGGCGGCGACGGGCACGATCGACGAGCGAATATTGTCTGACGCGCGCGATCGTGGCTGCGTCGGTCGCGTCGGTAGGTCGAACCGAGTGGCGCAGCCCGAGGAATAATGCGTGTTAGACACGACGACGACGACGACGACATTAAGACGCGCCGAGTACCGAGACGACGACGACGGTACGACGACGACGCGAGTAGTAGTGTGCCATCATCGGCGACGAGAAGAACGACGACGACGACGACCGGGAGGAGCGGCGAAAACAACGAGCCCCGACCATTGCTATTACTACCGCAGCAGCTGCAACGGCAGCGCAATTATGTACGCGTCGTACGGCACCGAGATCACGTAGTGGTCGGCGTGTAATTATGTTGTTGTCATCGTCGCGCGGCGCGACCTGTGCAGTAGATCTTCACGGTGAAAATCTGGCGTGAGCGGTTCCGCGGTGGAACGGGGAATATGGCGTCGGTCTCGGCCGAGACTCCAGCCAGCCATGGGCACAGCTTCAGCAAGAAGACGTTCCACAAACCAACGTACTGCCATAGCTGTACGGACATGCTCTGGGGCCTGATACAGCAGGGGTACATCTGCGAAGGTAAGGGGGATCAGCGCGACGAGCGGTTTGAGCGGCGCCGAGCACGACCGTAGACAGGGAGAGAGAGAGAGAGTGAGAGGGGGGAATGGCAGAGGGAGGAAGAGAGCAAACAAGTGAGTGAGTGAGCGAGCGAACGAGAAGAAAAGAGAGGGAAAGAGAACGAGATCAGACACAGCAGCGGTAGAGATGTTCTGGATACATCTCTGCGGGGAGTAGCGTACGTATCTCTCGATCGTCGTCTTGTCCATGCCGGAGTGTGCGCAAAAAGCTCTGCGAGACTTGCACGAATGTGCTTCGAGAGATGTTCGTATACTCCCGAGCCGCACTTCTGTTTTTTCTTTTTTTTTTTTTTTTTTTTTTTA